GTGGGTTCGACACTCAACTTATCATTATATTACTTGTCGATCACGTATACTTGCGTGTGCGTTTGGGAGCAACAATAATCCGCATCAACATACCCAATTAAGTCAAAATTGTCTCCTGAGGGATAATAGAGAACCAGGTCCTATGTTCCTTTGAGATTCCTTAGAATTCTCTTTGCAGCTTTCAAATGAGATTCTTTTGGACATGATTGGAATCTAGTGCATAATCCCACACTAAACACAACATCAGGTCTGCTGACTGTAAGATGCAAGAGTGAACAAATGATTCACAGGGGAACCAAGTTCATCCATGTCCATATGAGTGGCTGTGGAAATAGGAGTATCAGCGGTCTTTGAGCTTTCCATCTCAAAACTCTTCAAAGGCTCTTTAATGTATTTTTGCTGACTGATCATCCTTCCCTTAAAGGTTTGCTTAACTTGCAGACCTAGGAAATAGTTCAGTTCCCCTATCATGCTCATCTCAAGCTTGGCAAACTCCTCACATAAGAAGTCATTTGTTGCACCAAAGACAATATCGTCAACATAGACTTGCATAATTAGCAGGTTCCTCCCTCTTTTCTTCAAAAAAAGTGTGTCATCAATTTTTCCCTCTAGTAAAACCATTTTCCAGAAGGAACATGGACAATCTTTTATACCATGCACGAGGGGCCTGCTTTAAACCATAGAGTTCCTTGTCGAGCTTAAATACATGTTCAGGATGTTCATGGTTATCAAAAATAGGTGGTTGTTGACGAAGACTTCTTCCTTCAAATATCCATTCAAAAGCACTCTTGACATCCATTTGGAACAATTTGAATTCCATATGAGATGCAAAAGCAACAAGAATTTTATGGCTTCTATCAGTGCAACTGGAGTAAAAGTCTCATCATAGTTAGTTCCTTCTTGTTGATTGTAGCCTTGAACCACCAGTGTTGGTTCCCGAAGTACATGCAAGTATACGTAACCATCAAGTAATAAAGTGACTCGGAAGTCAGATGTCGAACCCACAGAGACTTAGATCAATCATTACCTAAGCAAACTAAAATCAATTAACCGTCCAAGATAATCAAGAGTGATGTTTTTATATTAATCTACTATTGCAGAAATTAAACAAGTAATAACTAATTTATCAAGAATGCAAATGTGTATGATGAGATTTTAATTTAGAGGAAATGAAAATTCGAGGGTTGTGGTTGGTTGATCGATACTATTAAGTTCAATAATCACACTCGTTAATCCAGATTATCTATGGTTTCTAATTACCGGATCAAATATATGAATAGCATGTTCCTACAATACTATCGCTTGTCCACAATATATCAGTCCTATATTCCTATGGTATCGAGTCTATCATGACCGAATATAATACGGTATTCAACTAAGCAAGACTGTTGGGTATGTTCCTATCCTAACCGCAAAATCTTTCCCCGAGCTACGGGTTCAGAAACAAGCTCCCTTTAATTCTACTATAGTCTAAACTCGGCTTTCCCAAGCATAGCATAGATAGTAAATAGAACTCAAATGTTGGCCAAACAATTAAGCAATTATGCACAAAATTAGAGAAACAACCAAAGATGATAACTAGAATTAATGGTAATATAATTAATAAACCTCAATACTCATGACAACAACAACCCTAGAACGTGAAGTTTAGCTCCACATAGACATGGTGGCAAAACAACAATTCATCCAAAGAAACATCAAGATTACTAAGTTTGATGGAAGAAAGATGGAATCTGATGAATTCCAGCCTCCATGGCAGCTCCGTGCTCTCCCTTGTTCCAAAATGTCAAAAGGTCCCAAAAATAACATTTTTACATGTATTTATACCAAGTAGGTTCTGGCCCAAACGAAACCACCTTCTCCTAGCCGAAATTGGATTGTTACTCTATAAAAATTGCACAGGCGCGCCGCATGGGGAGACGCGCTACACGGTGTGGTAGTGGAGTTTATCAGGGAGTGTGCACTTTGAAGGCAGCAGCAAAATAAGGTAGCCGCAGCGCGCCACGCACCGCCCCACGTGCCGCGACTGTGGGTTTTTCTCAGAGTCTGCCTTTATGTTTCATTTTTGAAGTCCAGACGTGGTTCTCGAACCCCGAACACTATCCTGGCTTAATCCCTTGGGCTTTTACTCAGACTTCAAAGCTCCAAATAGCTCGAATTCGTTCTATAACATCTACATAGCTCAGAATCACTCCTACAAGGCATAAACCACGTAACTAGTGCAAAACACTACCGATTAAAGCTCAAACTCAATTAAAGTGCAGTAAATTAGAGTGCGATAAGAGACCAAAATACGTAATTATAGCCTACCATCAACACCATACACTTAAACCATCGCTCGTCCTCAAGCAATCAAACTACACGTTACATAGACGTGACCTTTTTAAACAATTCTCCTAACTCATCACACCAAGAATATTTAAAATAGACTAATCACAAGAGTTTAACATCTTCACCTCAAGATTTGACTCACAAGTACCGCGTATTATTCACAACTCACCTACTTACTCTAACGTAGAGGTCAATGACATTACCTTTCCTTCATGAATCAAGTGCCCCCACACAACAAAAGAGAGTAGTTCTGCACACAATAAACTTTAAGAACAATTAGGAACTCAAGATAGAAAGAATTCACTCACTCTCAGAAATAACATTCATATGCCACAAAGATGCACCATCGGCTTGCCCGTAGTGTACTACTCTACTAATCGAGCTCATTCAGTCTAGGATCAAGTAGGACTTTAATTGGTTGTAATGTAGGCTTTGGGATGGGTAGGATACATTTAGATATAAGAGTTACTACACCTCCCTAAGCACTTTAATACATAAACTTCAACATTTAAAACCCCACACTTATGTCAAACCATAACTCCACCTTCACATCAATGTATATTAACTCCATACTTCTTTAAGAAAAATTACCTCAAGAGTTACCACTATCAAGGAATATTTTTCACAACAATACAACTATTTTTTCTTTCTTTTTCAATTCTGGCTCTTACTCTTTTCAAAACGGTGCACCTTTCTCCTTTTTTCATTAGTTCCACTCAAAAGCCAAACCAACCATCCTACACTTCAGCTTTTACCAAGTTCATTACAATTCAAGTGCTCATGAGAGGTGAAAAGGTTCAAATAGATGGTTAATTCAAACAAATGGATAAGACTTGTAATGTGGTTGCCAAAGAAACAATAATACAGGCTCGAAGGGTTAACTACGATACATAACAATTAGGCGGGAAAGATATATATATATATATATATATATATATATATATATATATATATATATATATATATATATATATATAATGGAACACCTACATAGCTCGGAATCACTCCTACAAGACATAAAACACGCCATTAGTGCAAAACACTAGAGATTAAAGCTCAAACTCAATTAAGTGCAGTAAATTAGAGTGCGATAAGCGACTAAAATACGTAATTATAGCCTACCATCAACAAGCCTGGCCTTGTTTCTTGTTCTATTTCCAAACTCATCTAGCTTGTTTCTGAACACCCCCTGGTTCCAATAACAGTTCTATCTGAAGGTTGAGGAACCATGTGCCATGCACTGTTCCATAATAGTAATCCAGTCAGCATTTTTCAGTGCTTCCTTGATATTTTTGGGCTCAATTTGTGACAGGAAGGCCGAGAAAGCAAAACATGCTTCATGTCTTTGATTTAGTTTGAATTCCCATCAAATTGATGGAGTTCATCTTGCATAACAACAATCCAGTCAGCATATTTTAGTGCTTCCTTGATATATTTGGGCTCAATTTGAGACAGGAAGGCTGAGAAAGCAAATTAGTTTGAATTCCCAAATCTCGTCGTCACTTCCATTTTACGAGAAATTTTGATTTCTTAGTGTGTCTAAATTCAATAGAAAGCACAAAATGTTCGAAGTTTCTTCTTCCTATTTGACCGAGAATACATAGAGTATTGCTCCAGTTTGTCGCAATCCATCACCGCCGGCCAGATTTCCGTTTAACTTCAAGGGCTCCAATTCAGGTTCTACTGTTCCTCTATTGTCTTGATATTTTAATATTTTGATATTTTAGCATAATTGTATCTTCTTGCCGGCCTATTTTGTTCTTGAATCATTAGTTAGTATTTGCCCTAGCATTGTCAAGTAATTGCATTAGTGATAGCATTGCCTACTTGTTTATATTGTTATCTACTAGCTTTGTCTACTTGTTTATATTGTTATCTACCTGTTTACATCTTTATTTTGAATCTTTACTTCAAATATCCCCTAGTAGTTCTGTTCTAGTTTTGCACATTTTTTTGTGACCTTTAGTTGTAGATTATAGCCCCTTTTAGCTCTTGTATTGTATTTCTTCACCTATTTTTTCTATCCTTTAGTTGTAGATTATAGTTCCTTTAGTTCCTTTGTTTTATTTCTTCACCTGTTTTTCTATCCTTTAGTTGTAGATTGTAACTCCCTTAGTTCCTTTGTTATATTTCTTCACCCGTTTTTTTGACCATTAGTTGTAGATTATAGTTCCCGTTAGTTCCTTTATTGTAGTTCTTCACCTGTTTTGCGACCTTTAGTGGTAGATTATATTTCGGTAATTCATTTTATTTTTGTCGCTTGTTTTCGGGATAGTGCTTGCGTAGTGACTCCTAGATTATAGTGGCTTTGGTAAATGATACTAGGGTAAGGTCTTGTCCTCGGGGGTGTCAGTACGGGGGAAGGGGTGTGAGGATGAGGGGGGGTAAGGGTGTATGAGAGCTAAGGGAGCTACTAGGCTGAGTGTGGAGTCTTCGAACATAGGAAATTTGACTGAAAAATCTATAGAGATAGCGAAGATTCTCGAGAAAAGGAAGATTAATATAGCTTGTGTATAGGACACTAGGTGGGTAAGAGATAAGGCTCAGGATGTGGGCAGTTTCAAACTTCGGTATTCTGGAAGGGTGGGGGGCAGGAACGGGGTAGGTATCTTGGTTGATAAGGACCTTCGTGAACTGGTGGTGGAGGTTAGGAGGGTGAATGAAGGCTGATGGCTATTAATCTAGTGTTTGGAGGTTTTATTTTGAACATAATCAGTGCGTACACACCCCAAGCAGGCTTGGATGAGGAAGTCAAGAGGCATTTCTGGGAGGATTTGGATGAGATGGTGCGTCGTATTCCGCATACTGAGAAACTTTTCATAGGAGGAGATTTCAACAGCCACATTGGAGCGACGTCTGGGGGATATGATGATGTGCATGGTGGCTTTGGTTTTGGAGATAGAAACGGATGAAGAACGTCTTTGCAGGACTTTGCTAGAGCATTTGATTTGGTGATAGCAAACTCGAGTTTCCTGAAGAAAAGGGAGCACTTGTCACCTTCCGAACTTCGGTGGGCTAGACTTAGATTGATTATTTACTCTGCAGGAAGTCCGATAGAGGCCTTTGCATGGATTGCAATGTCATCCCGAGTGAGAATCTCTCGACCCTTCATAGGCTCCTGGTCATGGACCTTGAGATCATGAGGAAGAGGAGGAAGATGGCGATGTATAGCCAACATAGGATCAAGTGGGGAGCCTTTATGGAAGCCAAAGTGCAGGAGTTTTGGCCAAACTGGTGACTATGGGGGCTTAGAAGACTAGTGGGGTCACAAGCTCTATGTGGACCACGACTGCGCAGTGCATTAGGGAAGCCACGAGAGAGGTATTAGGGGTCTCAAAAGGTTACTGTGGTGGTCACAAGGGAGACTGGTGGTGGAATGGAGAGGTGCAAGAAAAAGAGGAAACCAAGCAAGCAGCGTATTTGAAGCTAGTGGAAAGTGTAGACGAGGAGGAGAAAAGGGCGAATAGGGAGCATTATAAGTTGGCTAAGAAAGAGGCAAAGCTACCAGTTACGGCGACCAAGATTGCAGCTTTTAGTCATTTGTATGAGGAACTCGAGGGCCGAGGTGGGGATAAGAGGTTGTTCAGGTTACCAAGGCACGAGAAAGGAAGGCGAAGGACTTGGACCAAGTGAAGTGCATCATGGACAAAGAAGGTAGAGCTTTGTTGGATGAGGGGCTTATCCTTCGGTGATGGAAGACCTAATTGCATAGTCTCTTGAACGAGGAGGGGGACAAGATCATTGTACTGGGTGATTTGGAATTCTCTGGGAGTTGTTGTGACCATAGGTATTGTAGGCAGATTAGAGTTGATGAAGTTGAGGGGGCTATGCTTAAGAAGAGTAGGGGAAAAGCAACCGGGCCGGATGAAATTTCAGTGGAGTTTTGGAAGAGTGTGGGCAAGGCAGGCTTGGAGTGGCTCACTAGGTTATTTAATGTCATTTTTAGAATGAAGAAGATGCCCGAGTAGAGGTGGAGTACGATGGTTACTGTATACAAGAACAAGGGTGATATCCAAAATTACAATAACTATCGGGTTATCAAGCTGCTTAGCCATACTATGAAAGTCTGGGAGAGAGTGGTAGAGCTAAGGGTGAGGAGTGTGTCTATTTTCGAGAACCAGTTTGGGTATATGCCGGGCCGTTCGACTACAAAAGCCATCCACCTTTGTAGGAGATTGATGGAGCAGTATAGGGAGAGAAAGATGGACTTGCATATGGTGTTCATCGACTTAGAAAAGGCATACGATAAAGTTCTGAGGGAGGTTTTGTGGAGATGTTTGGAGGCTAGAGGTGTACCTGTTGCCTATGTTAGGTTGATTAAGGACATGTGTCACGACCCAATTCCTCCTATAGGTCGTGATAGCGCCCAACGTTACCGCTAGGCAAGCCAACAGTGAACTAACCACACGATTGTTTCTTTTAACAATTTAGAAATAGCTAATTTTTAATTAGTGCATAATTAAGAAGTGAAATTTAATAAAATGAGATATAAATAATTTTTAAGAGCAAATGAGATAAATAAATAACCAAAATCATCATGTGCCTACTAGCTTAATTTCCAAGATTTGGTGTCACAAGTGTATGAGCTACTAGTAAAATATACAAAATAATACTACACTACTATCAGAAGTGAAATAGGCAGAGGGCGTGTTTGGCATAACGGAAAATGTTTTCCGTTGAAAATATTTTCTTGGAAAACAAGTAGTAATCTTATTCATTTTCCGGTGTTTGGTACGCAAATTAAAGAAAATAACTTATCAAGAGTATTCATAAATAATTTAGATACAATAAACATGAAGCCATAAACTTTTGAACCAACAACCTTCCGAACCCACAAATTTCATAAACTTCCAAACCGCTAAACTTTCGAAACCGCGAAATTTCGAACCCATAAACTTTTTAATTTCTAAACCGTAAACTTCCAAACACATAAACCTCCGAACTCATAACTTTGGGACTTGTATTTTTGAACCTGTAAACCGAAAGATGAAAAAACTAAAACTGAAAATATATAAAAAATATTTTTTTTTCGGGGAGGGGGGCGGGGAGGGGGAGGGGGGTACAGAAAAACGAAAAATAGAAATTCAAAATTACAAAAAAAAGTAAAAAAAAAATCTTTTTTTTTAGTGCAGGGGTGGGCAGTGGGGTGGGGGATGGATGGTGCAGAAAAACGAAAAAAACAGAAATTTAAAAATTACAAAAAAAAACTTTTTTTGTGCGGGGGTGGGGGCAGTGTGGGGGGAGGGGTTTAGGTGGGTGGGTGTGGGGGTGTGAGGTGGGTCGGTGAGGGTGGGGAATAGGGCGGGGAAGGTTGAGAAGGAGTTTTGGAAAATGTTTTCCCTTTTCTTTATAAGGAAAATATTTTTCTCCAATTGGAGGAAAATGAGTTCATAAGGAAAATGTTTTCCAAAACATTTAAGCCAACCAAACATGGGAAAATTAGAAAACATTTTCCGGAAAATATTTTCCTTCATACCAAACACACCCAGAAAGTAAAAGCAAAAGGAAAACTTCGGGTACTGCAAAACAAGCTCGGAAGGCAGGTCACCGCAAAGTCTCGAGGTAATCAGGAGTGCACCTGCCTCAGATCCTGCACGGGTAGTGCAAAAGTGTAGCGTGAGTACATAAACAATATGTACCCAGTAAGTATCTAGTCTAACCTCGAAAAAGTAGTGACGAAGGGTCCACTTCGACACTTACTATGGGCTAACAATAAAATATCGAAATTCTAAATAAACATGGGCTAAATAATGATAATGAAACTCAATAACAAGAATTAAATAAGCAATTCTCTCATCGATAATAAATTCCAATTAAACTTTCCATCATTTTTTTCCCATTTAACCTCTCAAGCCAAATAAAATGATACCAAATATAGTTGGGCTCCAAGTATTGTTTCGCACGAATTATGCCGAGGACGTACGACCCGGTCAAAAATACATATACATATACTGTGTGCACTGCCGAGGGTCGAACGACACAAACCATAGATGCATCTGTTAACCTGCCGAGGCGAACGACCTGCTCTCATGAGAATAGTAGAGTTTACCTCGCTCGCGGAAAATACTTGCGATGCGAGTGAACATAGATTTCTAAAAAATTATCATAATATTTTTTAATTCTTTCCAAAAATAAGGAATCTAAACTTGAATCTTGAAAAACTCAATCTCAGCTCAAATACAATGCAATTAATAAGCAAAATCAAATAACGGTGTCAACAAGGCATGTTGTAAACCTAAGACTACCCGGATATAAGCATAATTAGTAGCTAAGTATGGGTTCTCGTCACCTCATGCATACGTATCCCCCCCCCCCCCAAAAAATAGAAGTACATATTAATTCAATTCACCTATGGGGTTAATTCCCTCTTACAAGATTAGAAAAGAGACTTACCTCGTCTCAAAGCTTACTTTCCGGTCCAAAATTGTGCTTTAAACCCTCAACTCGGTGCCAAACGACTCGAAACTAGTCAAGTGTAATATAAAATAGTCAATACATGTTCAAAAGTTCATATCCTAACCATTAAAGTGATTTCCCAACCAATTGAAGAATTCCTAAAATTCCCCCCCCCCCCCCCCCCGGGGCCCGTGCCCGGATTCTGAATATTTTTGAAGAAAGTTGTTACCCATAACCTTACGAACTCAAATATATAATTTTCACCCCCTTCCATAATCATTTTCATGGTTAAATCACATATATCAAAACCCTAGGTTTCCTCAAAAATTCCATAAATCCTACCATTTTCCATGTTAAATCTACTTATGATTCGTGTATTTAGCTAAAGAACCGATAGGGATCACTTACCTCTTGATGTTGATGGAACCCTCTCAAAAATGCTCTCAAAGTCGTCCAAGACCAAGTGGAAAATGAGAGAAATAAAGATAAGTCCCTCATTAAAAGTTGTTGCACATGTCACAAGTGTCGCAATTGCGATACCTTGTTCGCAAATGCGAAGGTCGCAAATGCAACAAAACCTTCACAAATGCAAAGCTGAGTCCCAACTATCATGGTCGCAATTGCGACAAAATATTCGCAAATGCGAAGGGAGGCTGGTCGTAAAAGCGACTGAAAATCTCGTAAATGCGATTCCTGCCTTGACTAGGCTTCTTCGCAATTGCGAAGCCTTTTTTGCAGATGGGAGGTTTGCAAATGCGAATCAAATCTTGCATTTGCGGTACCTGAGACACCAACAAAAAAAACCATAAAAACTGAAGTCTTCTCATCCATCTGAACGCGCCCGAAACTCACCCGAGCCCTCGGGCATTCACACCAAATGCCCACACAAGTCTAAAAACATCATAAAAACTTGTTCGCGCGATCGAAACACCGGAATAACATCTAAAAGCACGAATCGGACGCCAAATGCATGAATCAAATCATGAAAACTCAAAACTTCTAAAACACATCCGCACGTCCGATTCCTATCAAGTCACGTCCGATTGACCTCAAATTTTGTACACAAGTCTTGAATGACATTACGGACCTACTCCAACTTCCAAAATTGGAATATAAACCTGATAGCAAAAAGTCCACTCTTTGTCAAACTTCCCAAAAACCTTCAAAAATTCCACTTCCGCCAAAAGACCCCGAAACGACCTACGGACCTCCAAATCCACATCCGGTCGTGCTCCTAAATCCAGAATCATCATACGGAGCTATTCCCAGGATCAAAATCCCAAACGAACGTATATAACATAAAAACCCACTGCAACCCAAACTTATGAAATTCACCCAAAATGCCAACTTTCACTATTAGGCGCCGAAACACTCCGGGGTCATCCAAAACTCGATTCGAACATACGCCCAAGTCCGTAATCATCATTCAAACCTATTGGAACCGTCAAATCCTGATTCTGAGGTCGTTTACTCAAAATGTTGACCGAAGTCAAACTTAGCCTTTTAAGGCCAACTTAAGCAACCAAGTGTTCCAATTTTAACCCGAACCCTTCCAAATCCCAAACTAACTATTCTTGCAAGTCATAAAATAGTTAAAGCACATGCGGGGAGTCTTATTTAGGGGAACGAGAATCTAGAAAGAAAAATGATCGGTCGAGTCGTTACATGTATGATAGAGTAAAGACCCGAGTGAGGACGGTGGGTGGGGACTCGGACCATTTCCCGATTATGATGGGGTTGCATCAGGGGTCAGCACTCAGCCCTTTTTTGTTTGGTCTAGTGATGGACGTACTAACGCGCCACATCTAAGGGGAGGTACCATGGTGAATGCTATTTGCAGATGATATTTTATTGATTGATGAGACACGAGATGGTGTGAACGTGCAATTAGAGGTATGGAGGCAGACCCTAGAATCTAAAGGTTTCAAGTTGAGTAGGACCAAGACAGAATACTTGGAGTGTAAGTTCAGTGGCGAGACTCAAGGAGGGGAAGGGGAGGTGAGGCTGGACTCATAGGTCATCCCTAGGAGAAGGAGTTCTAAGTACCTTGGGTCTATTATTCAAGGGGATGGAGAGATTGATGAAGATGTCACACATCGTATTGGGGCGGGATGGATGAAATGGAGACTCACTTCCGGTGTTTTATGTGATTAGAAAGTGCCACCGAAACTTAAGGATAAGTTCTACAGAGTGGTGGTTAGACCAATGATGTTGTATGGGGCTGAGTGTTGGCCAGT